GAAAGAGCTGTTGATGAAGGAGAGAGCTGTGGGGAAGGAGAGAGGTGTTGGTGAACGAGAGAGCTCTGGGTGAAGGAGGGAGCTGTGGGTGAAGGAGAGAGCTGTGGGTGATGAGGGAGCTGTGGGTGAAGGAGAGAGCTGTGGGTGAAGGAGGGAGCTGTGGATAAAGGAGAGAGCTGTGGGTGAAGGAGAGAGCTATGGGTGAAGGAGGGAGCGGTGGGTGAAGGAGGGAGCTGTGGGTAAATGAGGGAGCTGTGGGTGAATGAGGGCTGTGGTTGAAGGAGAGACCTGTGGGTGAACGAGGGAGCTGTGGGTGAAGGAGGGAGCTGTGGGTGAATGAGGGAGCTGTGGATAAAGGAGAGAGCTGTGCGTGAAGGAGAGAGGTGTGGGTAAATGAGGGATCTGTAGTTGAAGGAGAGAGCTGTGGGTGATGGAGAGAGCTGTGAATGAAGGAGGGAGCTGTGCATGAAGGAGAAAGCTGTGGGTGATGGAGAGAGCTGTGGATGAAGGAGGAAGCTTTGGATGAATAAGGGAGCCGTAGATGAAGGAGGGAGCTGTGGTTGAAGGGGAGAGCTGTGGGGTAAGCAGAGAGCTGTGGATAATCGAAAGAGCTATGGGTGAAGGAGAGAGCTGTGGGTGAAGGAGGTAGATGTGGGTGAAGGACGGAGCTGTGGGTGAAGGAGTGAGCTGTGGTTGAAGGAAGGAGCTGTGGGTGATGGAGAGAGCTGTGGATGAAGAAGAGAGCTGTGGGTGAAGGAGAGAACTGTGGGTGAATGATGGAGCTGTGGATGAAGGAGGGAGCTGTGGGTGAAGGAGAGAGCTGTGGGTGAATGAGGGAGCTGTGGGTGAAGGAGGGAGCTGTGGGTGAAGGAGGGAGTTGTGGGTGAAGGAGAGAGCTGTGGGTGAATGAGGGAGTTGTGGGTGAAATAGGGAACTGTTGATGAAGGAGAGAGCTGTGGGTGAATGAGAGAGCTGTGGGTGAAGGAGGGAGTTATTGATGAAGGAGCTGTGAGTGAAGGAGGGAGCTGTGGGTGAACGAGAGAGCTGTTGATGAAGGAGATTGCTGTGGGTGAATGATCGAGCTGTGCGTGAAGGATTAAGCTGTGGGTGAAGGAGGGAGCTGTGGAGGAAGGAGAGAGCTGTTGATGAAGGAGAGAGCTGTGGGGGAAGGAGAGAGGTGTGGGTGAACGAGAGAGCTCTGGGTGAAGGAGGGAGCTGTGGGTGAAGGAGAGAGCTGTGGGTGATGAGGGAGCTGTGGGTGAACGAGGGAGCTGTGGGTGATGGAGAGAGCTGTGGGTGATGGAGAGAGCTGTGGGTGAAGGAGCGAGCTGTGGGTAAAGGAGGGAGCTGTGGGTGAATGAGGGATCTATAGTTAAAGCAGAGAGCTGTGGGTGATGGAGAGAGCTGTGAGTGAAAGAGGGAGCTGTGCATGAAGGAGAAAGCTGTGGGTGATGGAGAGAGCTGTGGATGATGGAGGAAGCTGTCCATGAATAAGAGAGTCGTAGATGAAGGAGGGAGCTGTGGTTGAAGGGGAGAGCTATTGAGTAAGCTGAGAGCTGTGTGTAATCGGGAGAGCTATGGGTGAAGGAGAGAGCTGTGGGTGAAGGAGGTAGATGTGGGTGAAGGACGGAGCTGTGGGTGAAGGAGGGAGCTGTGGTTGAAGGGGAGAGCTGTTGAGTAAGCTGAGAGCTGTGTGTAATCGGGAGAGCCATGGGTGAAGGAGAGAGCTGTGGGTGAAGGAGGTAGATGTGGGTGAAGGACAAAGCTGTGGGTGAATGAGGGAGCTGTGGATGAAGGAGGGAGCTGTGGGTGATGGAGAGAGCTGTGGGTGATGGAGAGAGCTGTGAGTGAAGGAGACAACTGTGGTTGAAGGAGGGAGCTGTGGATAAAGGAGAGAGCTTTGGGTGAAGTAGAGAGCTGTCGGTGAAGGAGGGAGCTGTGGGTGAATGAGGGAGTTGTGGGTGAAGGAGGGAACTGTTGATGAAGGAGAGAGCTGTGGGTGAATGAGGGAGCTGTGGGTGAAGGAGGGAGTTGTTGATGAAGGAGCTGTGAGTGAAGAAGGGAGCTGTGGGTGAACGAGAGAGCTGTGGGTGAAGGATGGAGCTGTTGATGAAGGAGAGAGCTGTGGGTGAATGAGGGAGCTGTGGGTGAAGGATGGAGCTGTGGGTGAAGGAGGGAGCTGTGGAGGAAGGAGAGAGCTGTTGATGAAGGCGAGAGCTGTGAGGGAAGGAGAGAGGTGTGGGTGAACGAGAGAGCTCTGGGTGAAGGAGGCAGCTGTGGGTGAAGGAGCGAGCTGTGGGTGATGAGGGAGCTGTGGGTGATGGAGAGAGCTGTGGCTGATGGAGAGAGCTGTGGGTGAAGGAGAGAGCTGTGGGTGAAGGAGGGAGCTGTGGATAACGGAGAGAGCAGTGGGTGAAGGAGAGAGCTGTGGGTGAAGGAGGGAGCTGTGGATAATGGAGAGAGCTGTGGGTGAAGGAGAGAGTTGTGGGTGAATGAGAAATCTGTAGATGAAGGAGAGAGCTGTGGGTGATGGAGAGAGCTGTGAGTGAAGGAGGGAGCTGTGCATGAAGGAGAAAGCTGTGTGTGATGGAGAGAGCTGTGGATGAAGGAGGAAGCTGTGGATGAATAAGAGAGCCGTAGTTGAAGGAGGGAGCTGTGGTTGAAGGGGAGAGCTGTGGGGTAAGCAGAGAGCTGTGGGTAATCGGGAGAGCTATGGGTGAAGGAGAGAGCTGTGGGTGAAGGAGTTAGATGTGGTGAAGGATGGAGCTGTGGGTGAAGGAGGGAGCTGTGGGTGAAGGAAGGAGCTGTGGGTGATGGAGAGAGCTGTGGATGAAGAAGAGAGCTGTGGGTGAAGGAGAGAGCTGTGGGTGAATGATGGAGCTGTGGATGAAGTAGGGAGCTGTGGGTGAAGGAGAGAGCTGTGGGTGAATGAGGGAGCTGTGGTTGAAGGAGGGAGCTGTGGGTGAAGGAGGGAGCTGTGGGTAAAGGAGGGAGCTGTAGATGAAGGAGAGAGCTGTGGGTAAAGAAGAGAGCTGTGGATGAAGGAGAGAGCTGTGGGTGAAGGAGGGAGCTGTGGGTGAAGGAGGGAGCTGTGGGTGAAGGAGAGAGCTGTGGGTGAAGAAGAGAGCCGTGGATGAAGGAGGGAGCTGTGGTTGAAGGAGGGAGCCGTGGATGAAGGAGAGAGCTTTGGGTGAAGGAGGGAGCCGTGGGTGAAGGGGGGAGCTGTTGGTGGAGAGAGTTGTGTGTGAAGGAGCAAGCTGTAGGTGAAGGAGGGCGCTGTGGATGAAGGAGAGAGCTGTAGGTGAAGAAGATAGCTGTGGGTGAAGGAGGGAGCTGTGGGTGAAGGAGGGAGCTGTGGGTAAATGAGGGAGCTGTGGGTGAATGAGGGAGCTGTGGTTGAAGGAGAGAGCTGTGGGTGAAGGAGGGAGCTGTGGGTGAAGAAGGGAGCTGTGGGTGAATGAGGGAGCTTTGGGTGAATGAGGGAGTTGTGGGTGAAAGAGGGAACTGTGGGTGAAGGAGGGCGCTGTGGATGAAGGAGAGAGCTGTGGGTGAATGAGGGAGCTGTGGGTGAAGGAGGGAGCTGTGGGTGAATGAGGGAGCTGTGGGTGGAGAGAGTTGTGGGTGAAGGAGGGAGCTGTGGGTGAAGGAGGCCGCTGTGGATGAAGGAGAGAGCTGTAGGTGAACGATGGGAAGCTGTGGGTGAATGAGGGCTGTGGTTGAATGAGAGACTGTGGAGTGAACGAGGGAGCTGTGGGTGAAGGAGGGAGCTGTGTCTGTGTGAATGAGGGAGTATGGGTGAATGAGGGAGTTGGGGGTATGAAGGGAGGGAAACTGTTGCATGAAGGAGTGAGCTGTGCGTGAATGCGGGAGCTGTGGGTGAAGGAGGGAGTTATTGATGAAGGAGCTGTGAGTGAAGGAGGGAGCTGTGGGTGAACGAGAGAGCTGTGGGTGAAGGAGAGAGCTGTAGGTGAATGAGGGAGCTGTTGATGAAGGAGATAGCTGTGGGTGCATGAGGGAGGTGTGGGTGATGGAGGGAGCTGTTGATGAAGGAGAGAGGTGTGGGTGAATGAGGGAGCTGTGGTTGAAGGAGCGAGCTGCTGATGAAGGAGAGAGCTGTGGGTGAAGGAGAGAGTTGTGGGTGAAAGAGGGAGCTGTTGATGAAGGAGAGAGCTGTGGGAGAATGAGGGAGCTGTGGGTGAAGGATGGAGCTGTTGATGAAGGAGAGAGCTGTGGGTGAATGAGGGACCTGTGGGTGAAGGATGGAGCTGTTGATGAAGGAGAGAGCTGTGGATGAAGGAGAGAGCTGTTGATGACGGAGAGAGCTGTGGGTTAAGCAGTGAGCTGTGGGTGAAAGAGGGAGCTGTCGGTGATGGAGAGAGCTGTAGATGGAGAGAGCTGTGGGTGAAGGAGGGAGCTGTGGGTGAAGGAGATAGCTGTTGGTAGAGGAGAGAGCTGTGGGTGAATGAGAGAGCTGGGGTGAAGGAGGGAGTTGTGCATGAAGGAGAAAGCTGTGGGTGATGGAGAGAGCTGTGGATGACGGAGGAAGCTGTGGATGAATAAGAGATCCGTGGATAAAGCAGGGAGCTGTGGTTGAAGGATAGAGCTGTGGGAGAAGCAGAGAGCTGTGGGTGAAGGAGGTAGATGTGGGTGAAGGACGGAGCTGTGGGTGAAGGAGAGAGCTGTGGGTGAAGGAGGGAGCTGTGGATAAAGGAGAGAACTGTGGGTGAAGGAGAGAGGTGTGGGTGAATGAGGGAGCTGTGGGTGAATGAGAGAGCTGTGCATGAAGCAGAGAGCTGTGGGTGAAGGAGAGAGCTGTGGGTGAAGGAGAAATCTGTGGGTGAAGGAGAGAGTTGTGGGTGAAGGAGGGAGCTGTGGGTGAAGGAGAGAGCTGTGGATGAAGGAGAGAGCTGTGGGTGAAGGAGGGAGCTGTGGGTGAAGGAGCGAGCTGTGAATGAAGGAGGGGAATGAGGGAGGTGACCGTCGCTCCCCGCCCTCCCCAGCACCTCGACGGCTCTCCCATCGAGGTGACGCTGGCCAAGCCGGTGGACCGCGACAGCTACGTCCGCTACACACGTGGAGCAGGCAGCCGCAGCTCCGTGCTACAGCAGGTGACACACAGAGACACACAGAGACACACAGAGATCTATAGAGACACATAGAGACACACCGAGATACACATAGATACACAGAGACACACAGAGACACACAGAAATACACAGAGATCTATAGAGACACAGAGAGACACACAGAGACACACAGAGACACACAGAAACACACAGAGATCTATAGAGATACACAGAGATATACAGAAATACACAGAGACACACAGGGACACACATAAATACACAGAGATACACAGAGACACACAGACACATAGAGACACACTGAGATACACAGAGACACACAGAGACACATAGAGAGACACAGAGATACACAGAGATACAGAGACAAAGAGACATACAGAGAGACACAGAGACACACAGAGATACACAGAGACACACAGACACTCACAGAGACACACAGAGACACAGACACAGAGAGACACACAGACACTCACAGAGACACACAGAGAGACACAGAGACCTATAGAGACACACAGAGACATACAGAGACTCACACAGACACAGAGAGACACACAGAGATACACAGAGATACAGAGACAAAGAGACACACAAAGAGACACAGAGACACACAGACACACAGAGATACACAGAGACACACAGACACTCACAGAGACACACAGAGACACAGACACACAGAGACACACAGAGACACACAGCCACTCACAGAGACACACAGAGACACACAGACACACAGAGACACACAGAGACACACAGACACACAGACACACAGAGACACACACAGACACACAGAGACACACAGAGACACACACAGAGACCCAGAGACTAAACCAGCAAGCTGCACTGTTTGAGAATCCCTGGGCCATCACGACTCGATAGCGGCTCCACCACGTGACTTATATCACCACCATCACCACCATCACCACCACCATCATCACCACCATCACAACCATCACCACCATCATCACCACCACCATCACCATCATCACCACCACCCTCACCACCACCATCATCACCACCATCACAACCATCACCACCATCCTCACCACCATCACAACCATCACCACCATCATCACCACCACCATCATCACCACCACCCTCACCACCACCATCATCACCATCACTACCACGTGTACATTCATGGGGCGTCTGTCTCCATTTTCCCGCCCCCTCCACTCTCGCCCCGCCCCCTTTCCCCCCCTCTCGCCCTGCCCCTCCCCCTCTCGCCCCTCCCCCTCTTGCCCCTCCCTATCTTGCCCACCACTCCCCCCTCCCTCCTTCACCCCTCCTTCACCCCCCCCCTTCATCTACCCCTCCCCCCTTCATCTCCCCCTTCACCCCCACCCCGCCCTTCACCCCCCCCCCGCCCCTCCCCGTGCCCCACCAGGCCCAGGCCGATTGCTTTGGATTCTACAGCGTCGGGGGAGGTGCTGTTGGGGGCGGGGCCCTGGGGGTGTTCGACTCCTCCCCCACAGGAGGCCCCTCCCCCTACCTGGGCCCGCCCGTCTACTACACTACGGCCCCGCCCCCTCCCCACCACCACCACTACGGAGGAGGGGGCGTGGCCATGGGGGGTGGGGCACACCCCCACGTGGTGTCCGGGGTGGGCGCGGGCGCCGCACGTGGGCAGGGGAACTGCAGGGGGGGGGTCCTGGTGGCTCGCGCGCTCAGAGGTGGGGTAGTGGGGGGGGTGAGTGGGGGGGTGAGTGAGTGGGTGAGTGGGTGAGTGTGTGAGTGAGTAAGTGGGTGAGTGAGCGGGTGAGTGAGTGAGCGAGTGAGTGTGTGAGTGGGTGAGTGAGTGGGTGAGTGAGTGAGTGTGTGAGTGAGTGGGTGAGTGAGTGAGTGGGTGTGTGAGTGTGTGAGTGGGTGAGTGAGTGGGTGAGTGAGTGTGTGAGTGAGTGGATGAGTGAGTGAGTGTGTGAGTGGGTGAGTGAGTGAGTGGGTGAGTGAGTGAGTGTGTGAGTGGGTGAGTGAGTGGGTGAGTGAGTGGGTGAGTGAGTGAGTGGGTGAGTGGGTGAGTGTGTGGGTGAGTGAGTGAGTGGGTGAGTGAGTGGGTGAGTGAGTGAGTGTGTGGGTGTGTGAGTGGGTGAGTGAGTGAGTGGGTGAGTGGATGAGTGTGTGGGTGAGTGATTGAGTGAGTGGGTGAGTGAGTGGGTAAGTGAGTGAGTGTGTGAGTGGGTGAGTGGGTGAATGAGTGAGTGGGTGAGTGTGTTGGTGTGTGAGTGTGTGAGTGAGTGAGTGTGTGAGTGAGTGGGTGAGTGAGTATGTGAGTGAGTGGGTGAGTGAGTGAGTGTGTGAGTGGGTGAGTGAGTGGGTGAGTGAGTGTGTGAGTGAGTGTGTGAGTGAGTGAGTCCGGCAAAACAACCCCCTACCTCCTCGCGGTGCCAGACGGGCAGCTCTGTCGTGGACAGTGCTGTGGGGAGAGGGCAAATTTCGATTGGCCGTCTCCCTTCATGGCGTCTGTGACCACCACAGTCGCTAAATGGGGGCTCTAGACGGGTGCGAGGGGCTGGTAACACCTCCACCTTCAAATAATTACCACGAAACCACGACTTAAATATATAACTAATAAGCTTGTGCCAGGGGCCCCGGGGGGACAGGCGTCTATGACGTCTCTTGGCCAAACCCCAATTGGCGGAGCCAGGAGATTGCATCTCTACCCTCGGGGCTCCTCCAGAAACAACGAAAAGCCACTTCGTGTTGCCACGTGGAATGTTTGAACGCTCACTGCGGAGGAGTTGCTGCCACTCCTCTGTCGGGAGCAGGACCGGTACCGCCTGGATCTCTGTGGCATTCAGGAGGTCTGGTGGACCGGTTCTGGCTCCTGCCACCATGAGGGGTGGCCAGGCCTCTACTCGGGGCAGCAGACTGCCAAACAACAAGGTGTGGCTCTTCTTTTGAACAATAGAATGCAGAGTGCGTGGGAGCGTAGCGGTGAGGTGTGGGAAGCTGTAAACCCCAGGCTACTTTGGGCTCGCCTTCCCATCAACCGGAGGCGAGGATTGGTGGTCATGGTTACTTATGCCCCCACCGAAGACGAACATCCGTGGAGGGATGCAGGCAAAGCCGATGAGTCAGATGCCTTCTTTGACCTGCTGTCACAGGTGCTGGCTAAAGTGGCCCCTCGGGATAGAGTCATCTTGTTGGGTGACTTCAATGCCCGAGTTGGTCATGATGCTGGCACCTGGTCTGGAGTGATTGGAGGGCATGGGCCAGATCAGCTCAATAACACCGTTAGGAGGCTGCTAGATTTTTGTGCAGCCCATGGGCTGGTAATTACCAACACGTTCCAGCATCGGCGCATCCACACAACATCATGGATGCATGCCGGGTCCAAGCAAGAACATATGTGGGACTACATAGTAACGGACCAGTGGATGGGAGCCTATGTCCTTGACACCAGGACCTACTGTGGAGCTGATCTGCCCTCTGACCATCGACTAGTCATCTGTAAGATGTGCCTGCCATTCTTCCACTCCGGTGGTGGGTGTACACCCAGGACCCAATTGCAACATAAAGTGGCCTGGTCTCAGTAAGCTGGTGAAAGTTGCAAGCGAGAATTTCATCATCGCTTGCGGCTGGGGTTGGCATCGTCCCCCCCTCCTCCTGATGTCGAGGGTAAATGGGCAAAGTTTAGGACTGTGACTCATGCAGCTGCAATGGCTGCTTTGGGTACGTGGTCCAGACCTCCCAGAGAACCTGGCTGACAGAGGAGGTGTTCAGGATAGTTGAGGAAAAACGACAGGCCCACTGTCATCGGCTACAGAATCCCCCGTCAGAGAATGAGGAGGCTTACCGCAGCCTTCGCTCGGAGGTTCGGAGAGCCGTGAGGCGCTGCAAGGATGGGTGGTGGTCGCGGGTTGCTGAGGAGATAAAGTCTGCCTCAGTGGCCCGCGATCAAAATCTCTATTTAACTCCATGAAAAAAGTAACCTGCAACGCCACACCTATTACCATCATTAGGGGAAAAAATGGTGTTCCAAACTCCGACCCCCAGGAATAGGTTTGCAGATTTGCTGAGCATTTATGTGAGGTCCTGGGGAAGGGGAAACCCCTCAGCCAGGAAAACATCGTGGCACAAAGTGGGGATGACCTTGCTGAGGCTGCGGTGCCTCAAATATTGGAAGAAGTCACCCCCGGTGAATAGCTGGCTGAGGTGCCATCTGTTGAGGAAGTACTGAATGCGATCCGGAGTCTGATACCAGGAAAGGCACCGGGCAGAGATGATCTCCCAAGCGAAATGCTGAGGGAGGGTGGCGTTCATGCACAGACTGCCCTACATGACATCATAACAACAGTCTGGACCACTGGACAGGTTTCGCAGGATTAAAAGGATGCCCTGGTGGTCCTCCTCTTTAACAAGGGGGACCGCACAGACTGTAACAACTACAGGGGCATCTCACTCCTCAGTGTGCCGGGAAAGGTCCTGCAAGGATTATTCAACATCGCCTTGCCAGGCACGCTGAGGAGAGGCTTGCGGAGCCCCAATGCGGTTTCAGGAAATGGCGGTCCTGCACAGATGCCATGTTTTCTGTCCGTCTGCTACAGCAGAGGTTTAGGGAATTACAACAAGACCTACATCTCTGCTTTATTGACCTGGTCAAGGCCTACGATACCATACGTAAGCCTGGGCTCTGGGTTCTTCTTCGTGCTTTTGGAGTCCCTGACCATCTGCTCACGATCATTAAGGACCTTCATGATGGTGAGCGGACCCGGGTAAAACTACATGGCCGGGAGTCAGAGCCATTCCCTGTACACCTTTGGGTGCGACAGGAATGTCCTCTGACTCCCACATTATTTAAAATCTATTTTTACCACGTAGTTCGTGAAGCCTTCAATAGCTGTACTGGGTGAATCTGCATTTGGTACAGATATAATGGGAGGCTGATCGATGCCCGGTTGCGGTCAAGGGATGGCTCCCTATTGCTCAACCACATTATGTATGCCGATGATTTGGTAATAGCTGCTCATTCAGAGGAGGAGTTGGAGACGCTGCTGTTGAGACTGGAGCATGGTACCAAGAGATGGGGCCTTACCATCAGCCCCACCAAAACTAAGCACCTGCCTGGGTATTTTGTACCATCGGACACTCCACCCCCACAAGACCCAATCCGTGATGGGGCAGTTGTGGAGAAAGTCGAGAGTTTTCCATACCTGGGCAGTGTGCTTTTAACCAGCTCCAGTTTAACAGCAGAGGTCTCACTCCGAATCAGTCAAGCGGCAATATTTTTTCATCGGTTGCGTAACGCTGTGTGGAAGTTACCTGGTCTGTCACTCCGCACTAAGCTTCAGGTCTTCTCGGCCACGGTCATTCTCTCCCTTCTCTACGCTTGCGAAACGTGGACCCCCCTAATGGAACATCTTCGCCGGTTAGAAACAGTTATGATGGCCTGCCTACGATCCATCCTGGGTTCAACCAGACTGGATTGTGTGAGGAGCTCACAAATCCTTGAAACATCTGGGCAAGGTCCCATCGGTGAGCTCGTCCGGCGGGCAAGGCTGCGATGGCTGGGTCATGTAGCCCGCATGCCCAGCCACCGTATTCTGAAACAGCTTTTGTTCGGCCGGATCGAGGGGGCTAATCGGGCGCGGCACGCGCTAGAGAAGAGATGGAGTGATGTGGTACAGGAGGACGTGGAGCTGAGTGGACTTGCAGATGACTGGTACCAGCGGTGTCCAAATCGGCCTCTGTGGAGGAGGCTCGTGAAAGACGCTACTGGGCAGTTGGAGGCAGTCGCCCTCCAAAAACTACAGAGGGTGGAAGAGCAACGCTCACAACAACGAGCGGAGCGCCGGGTGGCTCGTCCGGCGGGCAAGGCTGCGATGGCTGGGTCATGTAGCCCGCATGCCCAGCCACCGTATTCTGAAACAGCTTTTGTTCGGCCGGATCGAGGGGGCTAATCGGGCGCGGCACGCGCTAGAGAAGAGATGGAGTGATGTGGTACAGGAGGACGTGGAGCTGAGTGGACTTGCCGATGACTGGTACCAGCGGTGTCCAAATCGGCCTCTGTGGAGGAGGCTCGTGAAAGACGCTACTGGGCAGTTGGAGGCAGTCGCCCTCCAAAAACTACAGAGGGCGGAAGAGCAACGCTCACAACAACGAGCGGAGCGCCGGGTGGCTAAAGCCCAGCAAGGTCGCACAGTAGGGTGCACAGGTGGTGCACCAACCAGTCATCTCAGTCATCTCAGTCAGTCGACCCGTTGCACCTGGGACTGCCCCGTGACCTCCTGCCAGCGGGCATTCGACACTTCACGTGGCCTCAAGGTGCACATGGCCTGGCACAAGCGATGTGGTGACGTCACCGCCACTTAGGGGCGAATGGCGGTTGTTGTTGTTGTGCGAGTGAGTGAGTGGGTGAGTGGGTGAGTGAGTGGGTGGGTGAGTGCGTGAGTGAGTGGGTGAGTGGGTGAGTGAGTGGGTGAGTGTGTGAGTGGGTGGGTGAGTGAGTGTGTGAGTGAGTGGGTGAGTGGGTGAGCGAGTGTGTGAGTGAGTGTGTGTGAATGAGTGATGGGACCTTGCCCAGAGAGAGTAGTGGGAGCGATAGTGTAGCGGTTAGCGCGCTGCGTTATGAACCTGGCGACCCGGGTTCGATTCCCGCTCACGGCCAACACCAGTGACGATTATCTGAACCGGTCCCGGGCCTCCCCTAGGTCGACTCAGCCTCAAATGAGTACCTGGTGCGGTGTGTAAACATTGCCACTAGGGAGACAAAGGCGGTCGGGCGTGGTGCTGGCCACCCACCCCCTCGTGTACCGTTCCGGCCTTCATAGGTGCTCGCTAACAGCACTTGCCCCTACAGTCTGTTAAGGCTATATGGGGGATCTTTTGTGTGAGAGAGTGAGTGAATGAGTGGGGTGGGTGAGTGAGTGTGTGAGTGAAAAAGTGAATGAGTGAGTGAATCAATGAGTGAATGAGCTAATGAGTGGTTGGGTGAGTGACTGAGTTTCCCATCACCCGATCCTCCCATCCAGGAGCTGCTGGCTGTCGGGGTCTCGCCGGAGGCCGTGGGGGCTACTCCCAGGTCCAGGGGTCTGGAACGGGAGGCACGGGGAGAGCCTCTCAGGGAGGTGGAGGGGGTGGAGGAGGGGGTGGAGGGGGTGGTGCTGGGAGGGGGTCACGTGGGGGTCGCGTGGAGCCACGCGTCTTTGACCTCCTGCCCGGCATGGAGCTGACCCCAACGAATCCTGCGTCAGTGCGGGTGCAAGGGGCGGCTCGGAGTCCCACGCAGGTGGCGTGTGTGTGTCTGTGTGTGTGAGTGTGTCTGTGTGTGTCTGTGTGTGTGTCTGTGTGTGTGTCTGTGTTGTGGGGAGCGGTAGTGTAGCGGTTAGCGCGCTGCGCTATGAACCCGGCGACACGGGGTCGATTCCCGCTCACGGCCAACACCAGTGACGATTATTTGAACCGTTCCCGGGTCTTCCCTAGGTCGACTCAGCCTCAAATGAGTACCTGGTGCGGTGTGTAGTAAACAGCGCCACTAGGGAGACAAAGGCGGTCGGGCGTGGTGCTGGCCACCCACCCCCTCGTGTACCGTTCAGGCCTTCATAGTTGCTCGCTAACAGCACTTTCCCCTACAGTCTCTTAAGGCTATACGGGGGATCTTTATCTTTTTGTGTCTGTGTGTGTCTCTGTGTGTGTGTGCCTTGCTACATTAAATTACCACCAAACCACAACTGAAATATATAACTAATAAGCTTCTGCCGGAGGCCCCGGGGGACAGGCATCTATGACGCCTCCTAGCCAAACCCCATTTGGCGGAGTGAGGAGATTTAATCCTTACCCTCTGGGCTCCTCCAGACACAACGAAAAGCCACTACAGATGGCCACGTGGAATGTTCGAACGCTCACTGCGGAGGAGAGGCTGCCACTCCTCTGTGGGGAGCTAGACCATTACCGCCTGGATCTCCGCGGCATTCAGGAGGTCCGGTGGACCGGCTCTGGCTCCTGCTACCATGAGGGGTGGACAGTCCTCTACTCGGGGCAGGAGACTGCCAAACAACAGAGTGTTGCTCTTCTTCTGAGCAAAAGAATGCCGGTGAGGTGTGGGAAGATGTAAGCCCCAGGCAAGTTTGGGCTCGCCTTTCCATCAACCGGAAGTGAAGAGTGGTGGTCGTGGTTACTTATACCCCCGCAGAAGACGAACATCAATGGAGGGATGCAAGCAAGGCCGATGAGTCAGATGCTTTCTATGACCTGCTGTCAAAGGTGCTGGCTAAAGTGGCCCCTCGGGATAGAGTAATCTTGTTGGGTGACTTCAATGCCCGAGTGGGTCTTGATGCTGGCACCTGGTCTGGAGTAATTGGAGGGTACGGGCCAGATTAGCTCAATAACAACGGTAGGAGGCTGCTAGATTTTTGTGCAGTCCATGGGCTTGTAATTACCAACGCGCTGGTCCGGCATCGGCGCATCCACACTACATCATGGATGCATGCCGGGTCCAAGCAAGAACATTTGCTGGACTACATAGTGACGGACCAGCGGATGCGAGCCCATGTCCTTGACACCAGGGCCTACCGTGGAGCTGATCTGCTGTCTGACCATCGACCAGTCATCTGTAAGATGCGCCTGTCATTCTTCCACTCCAGTGGTGGGTGTACACCCAGGACCCCATTCCAACCAAAGGTTGCCTGGTCTCCGTTAGCTGATGAAAGTTGCAAGCAAGAATTTAATCATCGCTTGCGGATGGGGTTTATATCGCCCTGACTCCTCCTGATGCCGAGTGTAAATGGGCAAGGTTTAGGACTGCGACTCATGCAGCTGCAATGGCTGCTTTGGGTACGCGGTCCAGACCTTCCCAGAGACCCTGGCTGACAGAGGAGGTTTTCAAGATGGTTGAGAAAACGCGACAGGCCCACTGTCATCGGCTACAGAATCCCACGTCAGAGAATGAGGAGGCTTACCGCAGCCTTCGCTTGGAGGTTCGGTGAGGCGTTGCAAGGATGGGTGGTGGTCGCGGGTTGCTGAGTAGATGGAGTCTGCCTTAGTGGCCCACGATCACAAATCCCTATTTAACTCCATCAATAAAGTAACCTGCAGCGCCACACCTCTTACCATCATTAGGGGAAAAAACGGTGATCCCATCTCCAACCCCCAGAAACAGGTTTGCAGATTTGCTGAGTATTTCTGTGAGGTCCTGGGGGGGGGGGGGGGGGGGGGGAAATCCCTAAGCCAGGAAAACATCGTGGCACAAAGTGGGGATGACCCTGCTGAGGCTGCAGTGCCTCAAATATTGGAAGAAGATGGCACCCCCTGTGAGTGGCTGGCTGAGGTGCCATCTGTTGAGGAAGTACTGAAGGTGATCTGGAGTCTGAGAGCATGAAAGGCACCGGGCAGAGATGATCTCCCAAGCGAAATGCTGAGGGAGGGTGGCGTTTGTGCACAGACTGCCCTACATGACATCATAACAACAGTCTAGACCACTGGACGGGTTCCGCAGGATTGGAAGGATGCCCTGGTGGGGACCACACAGACTGTAACAACTACATGGGCATCTCACTCAGTGTGCCGGGAAAGGTCCTGGCAAGGATTATTCAACATCGCCTTGCTAGGCACTCTGAGGAGAGGCTTGCGGAGCCCCAATGTGGTTTCAGGAAAGGGCGGTCCTGCACAGATGCCATAATTACTGTCCATCTGCTAAAGCAGAGGTGTAGGGAATTCCAACAAGACCTACATCTCTGCTTTATTGACCTGGTCAAAGCCTATGATACCATCAGTAGGCCTGGGCTCTGGGTTGTTTTTCGTGCTTTCAGAGTCCCTGACCCTCTGCTCACGCTCATTAAGGACCTTCATGATGGGAGTCAGAGCCATTCCATGTACACCTTGGGGTGCGACAGGGATGTCCTCTGGCTCCCACATTATTTAACATCTATTTTGGCCATGTAGTTCGTGAAGTCTTCAATAGCTGTACCGGAAGAATTTCCATTTGGTACAGATATAATGGAAGGCTCATCGATGCCCGGGTGCGGTCAAGGAAAGGCTCCCTATTGCTCAACCACGTTATTTATGCCGATGATCTGGTAATTGTTGCTCACTCAGAGGAGGAGTTGGAGATGTTGCTGCCGAAACTGGAGCGTGCCACTAAGAGGTGGGGCCTTACCATCAGCCCCACAAAACTCAGCACCTGCCTGGGTATTTTGTATCATTGGACACTCCACCTCCACAACTCCTAATCAGTAATGGGGCAGTTGTGGAGAGATTGGAAAGTTTCCCATACCTGGGCAGTGTGCTCATGACCGGCTCCGGTTTAACATCAGAGGTCTCACTCCGAATCACTCAAGCGGCAATATATTTTCATCGGTTGCATAACGCTGTGTGGAAGCTACCTGGTCTGTTGCTCCGCACGAAGCTTCAGGTCTTCTCGGCCACGGTCATTCCCTCCCATCTCTATGCTTGCGAAACGTGGAACCCCCTAATCGAGCATCTTCACCGTTTAGAAACTTTTAGACTGACCTGCCTACGATCCATCCTGGGTTTAAACAGGCTGGATTGTGTGAGGAGCTCACAAATCCTTGAAAGATCTGGGCAAAGTCCCATTCGTTGAGCTCCTCCAGCAGGCAAGGCTGCGTTGGCTGAGTCATGTAGCCCGAATGCCCAGCCACCGCATGCCTAAACAGCGTTTTTTCGGCCGGATCGAGGGGGCTAAATGGGCGTGGCACGGGCTAGAGAAGAGATGGAGTGATGTGGTACAGGAAGACGTGGAACTGAGTGGACTTGCCAATGACTAGTACCAGCGGTGTCAAGATCGGCCTCTGTGGAGAAGGCTCATGAAGGACGCTACTTGGCATTTGGAGGCAGTCGCCCTCCAGCAACAACAAAGGACGGAGGAGCGACGCTCACAACAACGAAGCGCCAGGTGGCTAAAGCACAGCAAGTTGGCACAGTATGGGGCACAGGTCGTGCATCAGCCAGTCATATTGGTCATCTCAGTCAGTCGACCCGTGGCACCTGGGTCTGCCCCGTGACCTCCTGCCGTCGGGCGTTTGACACTTCACGTGGCCTCAAGGTGCACATAGCCTAGCACACGCGTCGTGGTGACGTCACCGCCACTTAGTGGCGAATGGCGGTTGTTGTTGTTGTGTGGGTTTCTGTGTGTCTATATGTGGTGTGTGTGCGTGTAGTGTGTGTAGTGTGTCTGTGTGTGGTATTTGTGTCTGTGTCTCTGTGTGAGCCTCTGTATCTCTGTGTGTCTCTGTCTCCTTGTGTGAGTCTCTGTGTGTGTCTCTGTGTCTCAGCTACTAGAGGAGCTATGCCAGACTAACAGCTGGGGACAGCCGATCTTTCAGCTGCACTCTGCCGTGTCTCTGCGCGTCTCTGTGAGAGTCTCTGTTTGTGTCTCTGTGTGTCTCTGTGTGTGTCTCCGTGTGTCTCTCTGTGTGTGTCTCTGTGTCTCTGTGTGAGTCTCTGTGTGAGTTTCTACGTGTCTGTGTTTCTCTGTTTCTCTCTGTGTGAGTCTCTGTGTGTCTCTCCGTGTGTCTCCGTGTGTCTCTCTGTGTGTCTCTCTGTGTGTCTCTGTATGTCTCCGTGTGTCTCTCTGTGTGTCTCTGTGTCTCTCTGTGTGAGTCTCCCTGTGAGTCTCTGCGTCTAAGTGTGAGTCACTGTGTTTCTCTGTGTCTCTGTGTCTCTCTGTGTGAGTCTCTGTGTCTCTCTGTGTGAGTCTCTGTGTGTCTCTGTCGTGTTTCTATGTGTTTCTATGTCTCTGTGTGAGTCTCTGTGTCTCTGTGTGTCTCTGTGTGTCTCCGTGTGTCTCTCTGTGTCTCTCTGTGTCTCCGTGTGTCTCTCTGTGTGTCTCTGTGTCTCTCTGTCTCTGTGTGAGTCACTGTGAGTCTCTACGTGTCTCTGTGTCTCTCTCTGTGAGTCTCTGTGTGTCTCTGTCGTGTCTCTATCGTGTCTGTGTTTCTGTGTCTCTGTGTGAGTCTCTGTGTGAGTCTCTACCTGTCTCTGTGTCTCTGTGTCTCTCTGTGTGTCTCTGTGTATCTTTGTGTGAGTCTCTGTGTGTCTCTGTCGTGTCTCTCATGTGTTTCTGTGTCTCTGTGTGAGTCTCTGTGTCTCTGTGTGAGTCTCTGTGTCTCTCTGTGTGTCTCTCTGTGTCTCTCTGTGTCCCTGTGTGAGTGTCTCTGTGTCTCTGTGTCTATCTGTTTCTGTGTCTCTGTGTGAGTCTCTGTGTCTCTGTGTGAGTCTCTGTGTGTCTCCGTGTGTCCCTCTGTGTGTCTCTCTGTGTCTCTCTGTGTGTCTCTCTGTGTGTCTCTCTGTGTCTCTGTGTGTCTCTGTGTGAGTGTCTCTGTGTCTCTGTGTCTCTATCTGTTTCTGTGTCTCTGTGTGAGTCTCTGTGTCTCTGTGTGGGTATCTGTGTGTCTCTGTGTGTCTCTCTGTGTGTCTCTCTGTGTCTCTGTGTGTGTCTCTCTGTGTCTCTGTGTGTGTCTCTCTGTGTGAGTCTCTGTGTGTGTCTCTATCGTGTCTCTGTGTGTCTCTGTGTGTCTCTTTGTGTGTCTCTGTGTGTGCCTCTGTGTGTGTCTCTATCGTGTCTCTGTGTCTCTCTGTGTCTCTGTGTGAGTGTCTCTGTGTCTCTGTGTGTCTCTATCTGTTTCTGTGTCTCTGTGTGAGTCTCTGTGTCTCTGTGTGAGTCTTTGTGTCTCCGTGTGTCTCTCTGTGTGTCTCTCTGTGTCTTTGTGTGTGTCTCTCTGTCTCTCTGTGTGTCTCTCTGTGTCTGTGTGTCTCTCTGTGTCTCTGTGTGTGTCTCTGTGTGTGTCTCTCTGTGAGTCTCTGTGTGTGTCTCTATCGTGTCTCTGTGTGTCTCTGTGTGTCTCTGTGTGTGTCTCTGTGTGTCTCTATCGTGTCTCTGTGTCTCTCTGTGTCTCTGTGTGTCTCTGTGTGAGTGTCTCTGTGTCTCTGTGTGTCTCTATCTGTTCTGTGTCTCTGTGTGAGTCTCTGTGTCTCTGTGTGAGTCTCTGTGTCTCCGTGTGTCTGTGTCTTTGTGTGTGTCTCTGTGTCTCTCTCTGTGTCTCTCTGTGTCTCTGTGTGTCTCTCTGTGTCTCTGTGTGTCTCTGTGTGTCTCTCTGTGTGAATCTCTGTGTGTGTCTCTATCGTGTCTCTGTGTGTCTCTGTGTGTCTCTGTGTGTCTCTCTGTGTGAGTCTCTGTGTGTCTCTATCGTGTCTCTGTGTGTCTTCGTGTCTCCGTGTGTATCTGTGTGAGTCTGTGTGTCTCTGTGTGTGTATCTGTGAGTATGTGTGTATCTCTGTGTGTGTGTCTCTCTGTGTCTCTGTGTGAGTCTCTACGTGTCTCTGTGTTTCTCTGTGTCTCTGTCTCTCTGTGTGAGTCTCTGTATCTCTTTGTGTGAGTCTCTGTGTCTCTGTCGTGTCTCTATCGTGTCTCTGTGTGTTTCTGTGTCCCTGTGTGAGTCTCTCTGTGTCTCTGTGTGAGTCTCTGTGTCTCTGTGTGTGTCTCCGTGTATCTCTCCGTGAGTCTCTCTGTGTCTCTGTGTCTCTCTGTGTGAGTCTCTGTGTCTCTCTGTGTGAGTCCCTGTGTGTCTATGTGTGTCTCTGTGTCTCAGCTACTAGAGGAGCTCTGCCAGACTAACAGCTGGGGACAGCCGATCTACCAGCTGCACTCTGCTGTGTCTCCAGACCAGCGACAACTTTTCCTCTACAAAGTCGCTATCCCAGCACTCGCAAGCCAGCTGGCACACACGTGAGGAGACGCAACCAGTCACTCCCCCAGTCACTCAGTTAGTCACTCAGCGAGTTACTCAGCTAGTCACTTCCCCAGTCACTCAGCCAGTCGCTCAGCTAGTCACTCAGCCAGTCACTTCCCCAGTCACTCAGCCAGTCACTCAGCTAGTCACTCAGCCAGTCACTCCCCCAGTCACTCAGCTATTCACTCAGTGAGTTACTCAGCTAGCCACTCCCCCAGTCACTCAGCTAGTTACTCAGCCAGTCAATCAGCTAGTCACTCCCCCAGTCACTCAGCCAGTCACTCAGCTAGTCACTCAGCCAGTCACTCAGCTAGTTACTCAGCTAGTCACTCCCCCAATCACTCAGCCAGTCACTGAGCTATTCACTCAGCGAATTACTCAACCAGTCACTCCCTCACTCACTCAGTCAGCCACTCCCCCAGTCACTCAGCCAGCCACTCCCCCAGTCACTCAGTCACTCCCCCAGTCACTCAGCCAGTCACTCAGCTAGTCACTCAGCCAGTCACTCAGCCAGTCACTTAGCCAGTCACTCAGCGAGTCACTCAGCTAGTCACTCAGCTAGTCACTCAGCCAGTCACTCAGCCAGTCACTCCCCCAGTCACTCAGCTTGTCACTCAGCCAGTCACTCAGCTAGTCACTCAGCTAGTTACTCATCCAGTCTCTCAGCCGGTCACTCAGCTAGTCACTCCCCCAGTCACTCAGCTAGTCACTCAGCCAGTCACTCAGCTAGTCACTCAGCTAGTTACTCAGCCAGTCACTGAGCCAGTCACTCAGCGAGTCACTCAGCTAGTCACTCAGCCAGTCACTCAGCTAGTCACTCAGCCAATCACTCAGCCAGTCACTCCCCCAGTCACTCAGCCAGTCACTCAGCCAGTCACTCAGCTAGTTACTCAGCTAGTCACTCCCCCAATCACTCAGCCAGTCACTGAGCTATTCACTCAGCGAATTACTCAGCCAGTCACTCCCTCACTCACTCAGTCAGCCACTCCCCCAGTCACTCAGCCAGCCACTCCCCCAGTCACTCCCCCAGTCACTCAGCCAGTCACTCAGCTAGTCACTCAGCCAGTCACTCAGCCAGTCACTTAGCCAGTCACTCAGCGAGTCACTCAGCTAGTCACTCAGCTAGTCACTCAGCCAGTCACTCAGCCAGTCACTCAGCCAGTCACTCCCCCAGTCACTCAGCTAGTCACTCAGCCAGTCACTCAGCTAGTCACTCAGCTAGTTACTCAGCCAGTCACTGAGCCAGTCACTCAGCGAGTCACTCAGCTAGTCACTCAACCAGTCACTCAGCTAGTCACTCAGCCAATCACTCAGCCAGTCACTCCCCCAGTCACTCCGCCAGTCACTCAGCCAGTCACTCAGCCAGTCACTCAGCTAGTTACTCAGCCAGTCACTGAGCCAGTCACTCAGCGAGTCACTCAGCTAGTCACTCAGCCAGTCACTCAGCTAGTCACTCCCCCAGTCACTCCCCCAGTCATTCAGCCAGTCACTCAGCCAGTCACTCAGCTAGTTACTCAGCCAGTCACTCAGCCAGTCACTGAGCCAGTCACTCAGCTAGTCACTCCCCCAGTCACTCAGCCAGTCACTCAGCCAGTCACTCAGCTAGTTACTCAGCCAGTTACTACCCCCCCCACCCCCCCACGATTCCCCCAACACCACCACCACTAGGCACCCGTTCCAGCCCAGCATCTCTGTCCCCATCTCCCCCATCTCTCCCCATCTCCCCCCCCCACACCACCAGGCACCCGTTCCAGCCCAGCAAGTTGTGTGTCTCTGTGGAGGAGGCAAAGCTGCTGGCGGCAGACCACGTGGTGCAGGCGCTGTGCATGCCGGGAGGGAGCGGGGGCCACGCCCCTCCGGGGGAGGCCGACCACGTGGTGCAGGCGCTGTGCATGCCGGGAGGCAGCGGTGGTCATGCTCCCCCCGGGGAGGCCCCGGGAAGCTTCGCGGGTATGTGAGGTCGGTACGCACAGAGGTACACACACAGACAGATACACACACACATAGATACATACACACAGATGCATACACGTACACATAGATACATACACATACACACACATACATATACATACACACACATAGATACATAATACTTACACATACATAGACACATATACACATAGACATACACACACATAGATACATAGATACATACACATACATACACACAGACAGAGGTACACACACAGACAGATACACACACATAGATACATAGATACATACACATACATACATACACAACAACAACCGCCATTCGCCACTAAATGGCGGTGACGTCACCACGACGCTTGTGCCAGGCTATGTGCACCCTGAGGCCATGTGAAGTGTCGAACGCCCGCTGGCAGGAGGTCACGGGGCAGACCCAGGTGCCACGGGTCGACTGACTGAGAGGACTGGCTGATGCACCACCTGTGCCCCCTACTGTGCCAACCTGCTGTGCTTTAGCCACCCGGCGCTCCGCTCGTTGTTCTGAGCGTCGCTCCTCCGCCCTCCGTTGTTGTTGGAGGGCGACTACCTCCAACTGCCCAGTAGCATCCTTCACGAGCCTCCTCCACAGAGGCCGATCTTGACACCGCTGGTACCAGTCATCGGCAAGTCCACTCAGCTCCACGTCCTCCTGTACCACATCACTCCATCTCTTCTCTAGCCCGTGCCGCGCCTGCTTAGCCCCCTCAATCGGCCGAACAAAAGCTGTTTCGGCATGCGGTGGCTGGGCATGCGGGCTACATGACCCAGCCATGGCAGCCTTGCCTGCCGGAGGAGCTCACCGATGGGACCCTGCCCAGATCTTTCAAGGATTTGTGAGCTCCTCACACAATCCAGTCTGGTTAAACCCAGGATGGATCGTAGGCAGGCCAGCCTAAATGTTTCTAACCGGCGAAGATGTTCCATTAGGGGGGTCCACGTTTCGCAAGCGTAGAGAAGGGAGGGAATGACCGTGGCCGAGAAGACCTGAAGCTTAGTGCGGAGCGACAGACCAGGTAGCTTCCACACAGGGTTACGCAACCGATGAAAAGATATTGCCGCTCGATTGATTCGGAGTGAGACCTCTGCTGTTAAACTGGAGCCAGTCATAAGCACACTGCCCAGGTATGGGAAACTCTCCACTCTCTCCACAACTGCCCCATCACCGATTGGGAGTTGTGGGGGTGGAGTGTCCGATGGTACAAAATACCCAGGCAGGTGCTTAGTTTTGGTGGGGCTGATGGTAAGGCCCCACCTCTTAGTGGCACGCTCCAGTCTCAGCAGCAGTGTCTCCAACTCCTCCTCTGAATGAGTGGCTATTACCAAATCATCGGCATACATAACGTGGTTGAGCAATAGGGAGCCATCCCTTGACCGCACCCGGGCATCGATTAGCCTCCCATTATATCTGTACCATATGGAGATTCCCCCGGTACAGCTATTGAAGGCTTCACGAACTACGTGGTCAAAATAGATGTTAAATAATGTGGGAGCCAGAGGACATCCCTGTCGCACCCCAAGGTGTACAGGGAATGGCTCTCACTCCCGGCCACGTAGTTTTACCCGGGCCCGCTCACCATCATGAAGGTCCTTAATGATCGTGAGCAGAGGATCAGGTACTCCAAAAGCACGACGAACGACCCAGAGCCCAGGCCTACTGATGGTATCATAGGCCTTGACCAGGTCAATAAAGCAGAGATGTAGGTCTTGTTGGAATTCCCTACACCTCTGCTGTAGCAGACGGACAGAAAATATGGCATCTGTGCAGGACCGCCCTTTCCTGAAACCGCATTGGGGCTCCGCAAGCCTCTCCTCAGCGTGCCTGGCAAGGCGATGTTGAATAATCCTTGCCAGGACCTTTCCCGGCACACTGAGGAGTGAGATGCCCCTGTAGTTGTTACAGTCTGTGCGGTCCCCCTTCTTAAAAAGGGGGACCACCAGGGCATCCTTCCAATCCTGCGGAACCCGTCCAGTGGTCCAGACCGTATACACACACATAGATACACACACATAGATACATAGATACATACACATAGATACACACACATAGATACATACACATGGATACATACACATATATACACACACATAGATACATAGATACATAATACATACAAACACAGACAGATACAACAACAACAACCGCCATTCGCCACTAAGTGGGGGTGACGTCACCACGACGCTTGTGCCAGGCCATGTGCACCCTGAGGCCACGTGAAGTGTCGAACGCCCGCTGGCAGGAGGTCACGGGGCAGACCCAGGTGCCACGGGTCGACTGACTGAGATGACTGGCTGATGCACCACCTTTGCCCCCTACTGTGCCAACCTGCTGTGCTTTAGCCACCCGGCGCTCCGCTCGTTGTTCTGAGCGTCGCTCCTCCGCCCTCCGTTGTTGTTGGGGGGCGACTACCTCCAACTGCGCAGTAGCGTCCTTCACAAGCCTCCTCCACAGAGGCCGATCTTGACACCGCTGGTACCAGTCATTGGCAAGTCCACTCAGCTCCACGTCCTCCTGTACCACATCACTCCATCTCTTCTCTAGCCCGTGACGCGCCCGCTTAGCCCCCTCGATCCGGCCGAACAAAAGCTGTTTTGGCATGTGGTGGCTGGGCATGCAGGCTACATGATCCAGCCAACGCAGCCTTGCCTGCCGGAGGAGCTCATCGATGGGACCGTGCCCAGATCTTTCAAGGATTTGTGAGCTCCTCACACAATCCAGCCTGGTTAATCCCAGGATGGATCGTAGGCAGGCCAGCCTAAATGTTTCTAACCGGCGAAGATGTTCCATTAGGGGGGTCCACGTTTCGCAAGCGTAGAGAAGGGAGGGAATGACCGTGGCCGAGAAGACCTGAAGCTTAGTGCGGAGCGGCAGATCAGGTAGCTTCCACACAGCGGTATGCAACCAATGAAAATATATTGCCGCTCGACTGATTCGGAGTGAGACCTCTGCTGTTAAACTGGAGCCGGTCATAAGCACACTGCCCAGGTATGGGAAACTCTCCACTCTCTCCACAACTGCCCCATCACCGATTGGGAGTTGTGGGGGTGGAGTGTCCGATCGTACAAAATACCCAGCAGGTGCTTAGTTTTGGTGGGGCTGATGGTCAGGCCCCACCTCTTAGTGGCACGCTCCAGTCTCAGCAGCAGCGTCTCCAACTCCTCCTCTGAATGAGCAGCTATTACCAAATCATCAGCATACATAACTTGGTTGAGCAATAGGGAGCCATCCCTTGACCGCACCCGGGCATCGATCAGCCTCCCATTATATCTGTACCAAATGGAGTTTCCCCCGGTACAGCTATTGAAGGCTTCACGAACTACATGGTCAAAATAGATGTTAAATAATGTGGGAGCCAGTGGACATCCCTGTCGCACCCCAAGGTGTACAGGGAATGGCTCCGACTCCCGGAAACGTAGTTTTACCCGGGCTCGCTCACAATCATGAAGGTCCTTAATAATCGTGAGCAGAGGGTCAGGTACTCCAGAAGCACGAAGAACAACCCAGAGCCCAGGCCTACTGATGGTATCATAGGCCTTGACCAGGTCAATAAAGCAGAGATGTAGGTCTTGTTGGAATTCCCTACACCTCTGCTGTAGCAGACCGACAGAAAATATGGCATCTGTGCAGGACCGCCCTTTCCTGAAACCGCATTGGGGCTCACTTCAGCGTGCCTGGCAAGGCGATGTTGAATAATCCTTGCCAGGACCTTTCCCGGCACACTGAGGAGTGAGATTACCCTGTAGTTGTTACAGTCTGTGCAGTCCCCCTTATTAAAGAGGGGGACCACCAGGGCATCCTTCCAATCCTGCAGAACCCGTCCAGTGCTCCAGACTGTTGTTATGATGTCATATAGGGCAGTCTGTACATACACACACACACACATATACACATACATATACACACACAGACAGATACATACACACACAGACACAGATACATACACACAGACACAGATACATACATACACACAGACACACACACAGACACACACACAGACAAACACACATACACAAACACACACGTAGATAGATACACACACACATACATACACGTAGATAGATACATACATACACACACAGACAGATACACACACAGATACACACACAGACACAGATACACACACAGACACAGATACACACACAGACACAAATACACACACAGACACAGATACATACACATACACACAGACACAGATACACACAAATATACATACATGTAGATAGACACATACATACACAGGTACATACACACAGATACACATGCAGATACACACACACAGACACAGATACACACACAGACACACACATACACAGACACACACGTAGATAGATACAACAACAACCGCCATTCACCACTAAATGGCGGTGACGTCACCACGACGCTTGTGCCAGGCTATGTGCACCCTGAGGCCACGTGAAGTGTCGAACGCCCGCTGGCAGGAGGTCACGGGGCAGACCCAGGTGCCAATGGTCGATTGACTCAGATGACTGGCTGATGCACCACCTTTGCCCCCTACTGTGCCAACCTGCTGTGCTTTAGCCACCCGGCGCTCCGCTCGTTGTTCTGAGCGTCGCTCCTCCGCCCTCCGTTGTTGTTGGAGGGCGACTACCTCCAACTGCGCAGTAGCGTCCTTCACGAGCCTCCTCCACAGAGGCCGATCTTGACACCGCTGGTACCAGTCATCGGCAAGTCCACTCAGCTCCATGTCCTCCTGTACCACATCACTCCATCGCTTCTCTAGCCCGTGCCGCGCCCACTTAACCCCCTCAATCCGGCCGAACAAAAGCTGTTTCGGCATGCGGTGGCTGGGCATGATGGCTACATGACCCAGCCAACGCAGCCTTGCCTGCCGGAGGACCTCACCGATGGGACCTTGCCCAGATCTTTCAAGGATTTGTGAGCTCCTCACACAATCCAGCCTGCAGGTTAAACCCAGGATCGATCGTAGGCAGGCTAGCCTAAATGTTTCTAACCGGCGAAGATGTTCCATTAGGGGGGTCCACGTTTCGCAAGCGTAGAGAAGGGAGGGAATGACCGTGGCCGAGAAGACCTGAAGCTTAGTGCGGAGTGACAGACCAGGTAGCTTCCACGCAGCGTTACGCAACCGA